CCTCTTTACAGCATACCTTATCAATCGGATTCCCTCCAGTATCCTCAATTTCCAAACCCTCCTTCAAACACTCTACCACCATATCCAAATACCTCCTCCCAAAAACCTAGAACCACGGATTTTTGGCTGCGTGGGTTTTTCCACTTACATGATCACTAACGACGCCGAAAAATGTGTTTTTATTGGTTACGCACCTCATCAGAAAGGTTACCGGTATTATCATCCTCCTAGTCAGAAGGTGTATACTTCTATGGATGTTGTGTTCCGAGAACACGATATATATTTTTCAGCCGTACAAGAGGAGCATCGCGATGCCAACACTTCTCAAATTTCAAGACTTTTTCCTCTAGAATTGTCCTAGACTGAAAACGAACGGTCGCATACTGCAAGTGACCGGTCGCTGGAGCCTCCGCCTAAAAACGATCGGTTGTAGGAAGCAAGTGACCGGTCACCCGAGACTCTACCTGAAAGCAACCGGTCGCTGGTTGAAAACGACCTGTGGCCCCCCAAAAATCACAATTTGATTCAAAACGACTGGTCGCCAGAGGACCGTGACTAGTCGTCTCCCTGCTCTCAAACTCAGAAAGAGAACATTGAAGAGTTTTTGCCTGCTCAGGAGAATTCTTCATCTTCAGTACCACACCAATCACCTGCTGAGGACGTCATTCAGGTAACATCTTTTCCTGAAACTGATAACAATAATGAAATATCCCTTAATGATTTAATTTCATAAGGCACAGAGCCTACATATCATATTCCAAAATGGAAGAACCGTGGAAAACCTCCAGTTCACTATGAAGCAGATCTTAATGCAAAAGGGAAATATCCCATCAACAATTATGTATGCATCAGCAGACTATCAGAGTCACGGGTACACTTTGTAAAGCAGTTGGCAGACATACCGATTCCCAACAGTGTCATTGAAGCATTAGAAGACTCAAAATGGAAAGAAGCCATGAATGAAGAAATGTGAGCTTTCTAGAAGAATGGCAAATGGGAACTCGTGCCATTACCTCATGGAAATAAGACAGTGGGATGTAGGTGGATTTATACTGTGAAACTCAAAGCAAATAGATCCATTAAAAGATATAAAGCTAGATTCGTGGCGAAGGGGTACACGCAAAGATATGGGATAGACTACCAAGAGACCTTTGCTCCAGTAGCCAAGATTAAAACTATCAGAGTCCTTCTGTCTCTAGCAACAAATCTAGATTGGCCATTACATCAGTTTGGTGTCAAAAATGCTTTCTTACATGGAGACTTGGAAGAAGAAGTATATATGGATTTGCCACCAAGATGTAACTTAGCTCGTGACAAGGAAAATCAAGTTTGCAAGCTCAGAAAGTCATTGTATGGGTTAAAGCAATCCCCCAGGGCATGGTTTGGCAGATTCACTAAATCCATGATGAATTTTGGATATATACAAAGTAATGCAGATCACACTTTGTTCTTAAAGCGTGATGGAAGAAGTCTTACTGCATTGATTGTTTATGTGGATGACATAGTCGTAACTGGAAATGACACAAGAGAGCAACTAAAACTACAGAAGTATTTGTCTTAAGAATTTGAGATGAAGGATTTAGGTGATCTGAAGTACTTTCTAGGAATTGAAGTAGCCAGGTCCACAAGTGATATATTTTTGTCTCAAAGGAAGTATGTATTAGATCTACTCACTGAAACAGGAATGCTTGGATGCAAACCTGCTGATACACCCATCGAGATGAATCATAAGTTATGTGAAGGCATGGATCAAGAACCAACCAACAAGGAACAGTACGAACGCTTTGTTGGAAGGTTGATATATCTAGCTCACACATGGTCAGACATTGCATATGCTGTGAGTGTGGTTAGTCAGTTTATGCATTCACCCAGTGTGTCCCACAGGAATGCAGTTAATCGAATCTAAAGATACTTAAAATTAGCACCTGAAAAAGGATTAATGTTCTCAAAAAATAAAGATCTCAAAGTTGTTGGATATACAGATGCTGATTGGGCTGGCTCCGTTACTGACAGATGCTCTACTTCAGGTTACTTTACTTTTGTGGGAGGTAATCTAGTCACTTGGCGGAGTAAGAAACAAAATGTGGTTTCTCGATCGAGTGCTGAAGCAGAGTATCGAGGAATTGCTCACGGAGTTTGTAAATTACTATGGATCAGAAGACTATTGACAGATTGGGGTTCAAGCAAGAAAAGCAAATAGAGTTACATTGTGATAACGAGTCAGCCATCGATATTGCCCATAATCCAGTTCAACATGATCGAACTAAACATGTTGAGGTGGATAGACATTTTATCAAAGAAAAACTTGAGAAGAAGATCATCCGCCTACCATTCGTAAAATCAGAAGATCGGTTGGCAGATATATTAACCAAAGCTGTTTGTGGAAGAGTATTTTAGACTCACTTACCAAGTTAGGCATTGGTGACATATATGCACCAACTTAAGGAGGAGTGTTGACGTAAGTCTCCTAATTAATCAATGAGATTTACTTCCTTGATTAATTAAGGAATTTACTTTCCTATTTTTATAAAGTTGATAAATCATTGTTTAATTATGAGATATTTTCCTAATTCTTTACTGTATTTAATTCCTTGTATAGCACCCTGTAAACTCTTATATATACCTCCTTATGGAGAAGAATAAAGTGAACCCAAAGTATTCAAACCATATTCATATTTTAGCATAAGCTCCTCCTTAATTTTAAGAAGTCAAGTCTTGCTCTTTGGCAAAATCTGAATCACTAACTCATTCAACTTGAATTCCTCTTAAATAAATAATTGAAAAAGACAGAGAATAGAAAGTCGGTCGACTTTGAACGAATAGAGAGAGATTAAGATGGTTTAACTTATCAAAATTTTAAGGTTTAAGGTTTGATTAATTACTGTATAAGAATGCATTATTGGACATATATATCATTGTATTAAAATAGATGCGTAGAAACAAGATATTATAAAATATTTACTATTAAAAAAAAAGTTTTAAAAAAATTAAGAATATTGTAGGATTAATTCTCGAATAATATTCCAAATGTTTGCAAATCAATTTACACCCCAATTAAATTTTATATTTATTTCCATTCACCAACAATTGGCATCCACAAAAGTTGTATTCAGACTTTCTTGTCAGAAAATAAATAAATAAAATGCTACGGAAAATAGATATATTAAAATAGGGGACGGATATGTGGCATTACGTTTTTGACATAATTTTTGGGTCATTAGATTACTCAACTTTCAATGGTTGAGATTAAATATTACTTGGCAAGTAGTTTTAATTTTTTAAATAGACAATCATTAATTTTATTTTCTCTCTCATAAAAATAAAATAAATTTTTTTTTTATATCCAACCTTTTTGTTGGAAGACGTAATCCCTCTTGCCTCTTTAATCTAAAAAACGGGTGTCTAGTATCTCTAATATAGTAGTACATAAGAAAATCACATTACTTGAACTAGTATTATATACTTTCAGTATGGATATATATAAACACATTTCTCTATGTATTTGTAGAGCCATGACCATTTCAAGCCGAAATGTGACACCGTTAGTGTATTTATGGGTGGAGTCACATCCCGAAATATGACACCGCTACTAGCCTGAAACGGTCCACTAGTGTATTAATTGATGGAGTCACATACAAGCCTGAAACGGGTATGTATCCCTCCAAACTGATAACGAAAGTGATATTTGTAGAGAAAGATAAGGAGGAAGAAAGCTAGAAAGAGGACACAGAGATTTCTAAGAGATCTTTACTGTTTGTATTTTCTTAATGGACAATTACCGTACACACAAGATCTCTTAGAAATCTCTGTGTTCTCGTGATCAGTTAGGAATTGTTAAGCAATTGTATAAAGCTTTTGTGTGTACGGTAATTGTTTATTAAGAAAATACAAACAATAAAAATCTCTTAGAAATCTCAGTGTTCTCTGTTTAACTTTCTTCCTCCTTAACTTTCTCTGCAAATACTACTTTCGTTATCACAAACTTTCAATTGATAAATTCTAAAAATACATATACGAATACTAAATGATGTTATACTTGACGAATTCCTCGCTATAAAAAGTGGTCCAACAACTCTACATTACATTTATGGCAATGAAAGAAATCCCAATAATGAAACTGCATTTATAGGATTTTCCAGCTAAAGTCTAACCACACGCATATGGGTCCACTAAGTATAAAACTCACAATCTAATTATTCACGGTTTTACAAATCACTACGTACTCTGTAAAGAAAAAAAAAAAGGTTGAGATACGATTATCCATCCCTAACTAATTCATCAATAATCAAATCAACATCATTACTAAAATGACCCTATCTTTGCTTGGCTACAAATGTCATCTCGTCACGCTCAAAACTTAAAATTTCTTGTCTAAAAGCCCTTGTCCATCTTTATACGATAGCTACAGACGACCTGCCAAAAATACTCCGTCACGGACTTTTTTTTATAATATACAGAAATGTTGATTTTGTCTGATAATATTTAAGTCCTTTTTCTATTTTTTCTCGAAGAGCACTGTTTTTCTTTATTTATTTTGGTTTTACGTGCCTACATTTCTCAAGTTTGAATCCCCATTGACATCTCTTTGTATTATAATTGATGACCTAATATGAATATGAGGAATCCTAGTTACTTTCTCACTCTACTAGCTCTATTTATCTTTTAAACATGAAAATCACCCTCACTCAAGATTTTATAATGATTTGAAAAGAAAAATTAGGGTCTTCCCACACTCTTAGGCTCGATAAATTTAACATTATTAACCTTCGATCTAAGCTTACAAACACCAAGCCCTCCAATTATTTTCTGTGTGGTTGGAATTGTTCAATTATTTGCATGGTTCATTTCACTTAACGTGTTTTGGTGTTTACTTGGTCTATCATTTTCAATCCTTACAGTTGGCTAATTAATTATTATTAATAATGCATTTAATTAAATTCTAGACGTAGATATCCCATGCCATGCACTGCTTATACTTGGTCTTAGTCTTTCAGATTAGGTAACCATGCCAGCGCTAAACTCCCCCTCCCCTCATTTCTTCCTCTATAAATATAAACCCTTTTAATCTCCATGCATACACCAAAGGCTCTCTCAAGCTGCCAAAGCTAAACCACACTCCTAAACCCTTGTTAAACCCTTTGTTAATTTAATCAGCTTTTGAAATTACCAATGGCTTCTGGTAGGAGTTCTTCTATGTGTTCCATATGGATGATTGTCCTTCTTGTGGGTTTCACAGGGAGCTCTTCTGCTCAGCTCTCTACAAATTTCTATTCGAAGAGTTGCCCTAAGGTTTTTCATGCAGTCAAATCTGTTGTGCGGTCTGCTGTGAAAAAAGAAAAGCGCATTGGAGCTTCCCTCCTTCGCCTTCACTTTCATGACTGCTTTGTTAAGGTAATTATTTCTTATTCATTTTTTTTATATAAGCAATAGTTTAAACTATTTTACATTAATTCAATCTATAGGAAGGGGGGACTCGAATCTGGGTGCAAGAGGGCGGACTCACTGTCTTGGCCAACTGACTTAACCCACGTTTAATTTGCCTATGTTACATATTAATTAAGTACAAGAATATGTGTGGTGCTATGCACAGGGCAGGCTGGGGGCCTGCCCCGCCCAATTTTTTTTAAAAAAAATTACCTACATGTGTTATAAGCCCATCCAAAAATTTAAAAAAATTAAAAACAAACCCTACACATATGTTGCCCATCCAGGTTGTCTCATATCTTCTCTCTCCCTATTGTCAAAGTTCAATCATTGTGTCACATCTACAATAATGTATAGGGATGATGAAAAACAAATGAACTTCTGTTCGCATGAAAAAGAAAAACATGGTGCTCCTCACTTTTCTATGTTCTCCCTACGAAAATTCAAATATGCTGCACGCAGGTTGAAGACATGCATATATAGCAAAAGTCCAAGTCTTCGATGATGAAATCCCAAAGGCGCCCTTTACGGCAGTAAAATACTTTCAACATCATGAGGGCATGCACGCAGTGTTTCTTTATTCAAATTATGTTTATGTTTAATTAGTAAACATCGTAAACATGTTGACTTTACAGCTTCATGATTAGCAACGTTATATTTCTTGAATTTTGGTGTTTAATAGTAACTTAAAAACTATTAATAGTTGTGGGTTAAGTCACTTCACTAAGGTAGTCTGTTTACCTCTTTGTGTCCGAGCTCGATCTCTCTCTCAGTATCTAATCCTATAGTGTTTAATAATGTTTAATTGATCATAACCAGGGTTGTGATGGGTCTGTACTGCTGGACGACACTTCTTCCTTCACAGGAGAGAAGACTGCAGCTCCCAATAATAACTCTCTTAGGGGATTTAAGGTTGTGGATAAGATTAAGTCCAAAGTGGAAAAAAGATGTCCCGGCGTCGTTTCATGTGCTGATATCTTAGCCATTGCTGCTCGAGACTCCGTTAAAATTGTGAGTAACCAATACAAATCTTATACTTAATTTTACACATCACAACAAAAACACATGATACTAATTATGCTACATTAAACAAAACAGTTAATATCCAATATTTTTTAGGGATATTAATTTATCCTATTAACACTTTGAAACTTTGCTTTTTATTTTGTTGCAGCTTGGAGGACCAAGTTGGAAAGTTAAACTTGGAAGAAGGGATTCCAAGACAGCTAGCCTTGCTGCTGCCAACAGATCCCTCCCTGCTCCCACTTCTACCCTCAGCCAGCTCAAAACTGGATTCCGAGCTGTAGGTCTCAATGAAAGGGACTTGGTAGCCCTATCTGGTAACAATGACAGCACCCCCTTAATTGATTTGCCAGTATTTCATTTGGTTACATTCGATGACCTATGATTCTCATTTATATATAATAATAAAAACATCTGTATACAAAAAGCATTAATCTTGTCAGATAGTCTGACATGCTATGTTACGTGATGGCAGGAGCGCACACGATCGGGAAAGCAAAGTGCACATCTTTCAGAGTTCGCATATATAACGAGACCAACATTGATGCATCATTTGCCAAGGCCAGGCAAAGAAAATGCCCAAGGACCGCAGGAGACAACAACCTTGCACCTTTAGACGTCCAAACTCCCCACACTTTTGACACTGCTTACTTCAAGAACCTCATCAACCAAAAGGGCCTCCTCCACTCTGACCAAATTCTCTACAACAATGGTGGATCCACAAATTCATTGGTTAAAAAGTACAGCGGCAGTGCCCATACCTTCAATTCCGACTTTGCCAAGGCAATGATCAAGATGGGAGATAATAAGCCACTCACTGGATCCAACGGTGAGATTAGATTGAACTGTAGGAGGCCTAACTAGCTAGCTAAGCTAAGGAGGTACTTTCTCTGTCACAAGAATAAACCAGAATTGGAGGTTTCACCCAGATGTTGGGAGAATTATTGTTTTGTGTGAGATATAAGGTTATTGTTTGTTGAGTTGAGTGAGAATTTAATTAGCTGGTGTTTTTTATTCTTCCAACGCATAAAAGCATGTTTTTTATTTCAAGAAATTCATATTAGCTAAAGTTGTTTACCTATTAATTGTTGATGGAATCGAACAAAGTAAATTTGGCCCGTTGGTTTTGAACTCAATTCTGTTGATTTGTTAAAACCCAATAGACTGGGTCAGGTCCAAATCCTGATAAAAGAATCAGGTCAGCCTGATTTGGACAGCCATTAATTCACTAATATGAATTCATACACTCTCCATTGATAGTGGACTCGTTCCAGCCTCCATTGATTTTGTATAAAATATTTGGCGCTGTGACTACTATTTCTGAACGGGTAAGTTATTAGATGTGAACTAACAATTATCCTAATATTCTATTTATATAAAATTATAAAACTGTTTTTTTTATATCCACCGTCAACTTTGAATGAAATGAAGTAGGTGATCCTAATACACTTGTCACGTATTCGTATCTGGATTGGGGCATGTCATCGTCAACAACAATTAAGTAACCTATATATGTACACATCTGCAAAACTAAGTTCTGGTTTCTACAACAAAGTGTGCCCTCAGGCATAGCTACCAGAAAAGTGTTAAATATTTCATGAAAAGAAATCAATAGAACAACAACACCATGAATCACATTAGAATAAACCAATAAACCAATAACAAACTTAATAACAAATCAAGAACACTAACCTGGATTAAAGAAGAAGACATGAAGGTCTGTTGGAACCGTCTTCTATTCTTTGCAATACCAAATGCTAATATCTCAATAGGGCAGATAATATCTTAGCGTGTAATTGTAAGAATAGGGACTAGTCCTTTTATATTGATAACAAAACTCTAACCTTCCTATTATATTTTAGGGATTGCTGATTTATGCCATAAATTCATGGATATCTTACACTATAAGAAGGCCCATATAGCTTTATATATATTGGACTCTAATACATATGGTCCAACAAGCTATGTGAAATATATGTATTATAATTAATACTCAATTTTCTTCCAACAAAAAGTCGTCAAACGGGCCATCAGCCAGGAGGCTCTCTACTTCACCTTCATTTCCAGGATTGTTTTGTTAATGTAATTAAGCTTATATTGATTGTGCATCTATGTTGCACCGATACGCCGGATTTTTGGGGTATGCTCGTATCCTATACGGCGCCGATACGATATGGCATCGATACATATCCGATATGCCATGTGGCGTATCGTAGACTTTTCTAGGATGTTGACTTTATGATACGGCTCCGATATTCCATTGATATGATCACGATACGCTAGCGATATTGTCCCGATATGTAAATGGGTAACTTTGACAGCAACTAAAAGAGAAGAAGAAGAAGAAGAAGAAGAAGGAAGAAGAAGGAAGAAGGAAGAAGGAAGAATGAAGAAGAAAAGAACTTACTTGCACTTGCAGCTGCTGCTAATCTGCAGTTGCAAACAATTGATGTGCAAAGAAGAGGCGGCTAACTAGTGAGGAAGATGATGTTGGGTGCCCCAATTACAATACGCACCGTTTTAGTTGCATATTTGGTGGCCTTTGTTAAAAAAATTGTTTTATACTTTTTAATTCTGATGCATTCATTTGGGCCAAACCCAAGAACTGAAACAAGTCATATATGGCCTAGAAAAACATAAGGAACTAGAAAAAAAAAGCCCAAATGCTAATTTTACACATATATATATATATATAATTTTACATATATATGTTTATATTTTTATAATATTTATATTTATATTATTTTAATCTCCGTATCGGTGCCGTACCCGTATCCTATTTTTAGAAATTTTCCGTATCGACGTATCGTATCGTATCGTATCGCCGTATCCGTATCCGTATCGGTGCAACATAGTTGTGCATGCATATAGTGCACTTGAAATAGTTGTTAATGTAAATGCTCAGTTCTAAAAAAAAATTTCCTGATATGTGTTCATGGTTGAATTGATACAGGGTTGCGATGGATCAATGTTGCTTGATGATACTGCCAACTTCATCGGTGAGAAGACCGCCTTCCCAAATCTGAATTCGATCCGGGGATTCAACGTTGCAGCTCGTGATTCTGTATCCATTGTGAGTATATACATGTTTGCTAATATTGCTAGGTTCATCAAATGTATTCACCAAATATTGTCCCAGTAGACGTTCCATTTTCATATTAAACCCTAATATTCATTTTCTTAAGACGTACGAAATGTTTTTATTAATGAAATTTTGTGTTTGTGTTTTAGTTGGGAGGCCCTGATTACAAAGTACAATTAGGAAGAAGGGATGCAAGAAATGCAAGCGTGAATGATGCAAACAGAAATCTTCCACCCCCATTATTCAGCTTCTCTCTAACTTCCAAGCTCATGGACTTAACCCGAAAGACTTGGTTGTGCTCTCAGCTGCCCACACCATTGGACTTGCTCGGTGTACAACCTTCCGTGCCAGGTTTTACAATGATACCAACATAGACCCCAAGTTTGCAGCCTCTGCAAAATACAATTGTCCAACAACTGGAGGAGATAACAACACAAGGCCACTAGATTCAACTACAAGGCGATTCGATAACGTCTACTTTAAGGCTTTGTTACAACAAAAGGGTCTCCTCCATTCTGATCAAGAGCTCTATAAAAATAATGGTACAGATAGTGATAAGCTGGTGCTGAAGTACAGCAGGAACTCGGAATCTTTTGCAAAAGACTTTGCAAATTCTATGATCAACATGGGCAACATCAAACCTCTCACTGGGAATAATGGAGAAGTAAGACTCAACTGCCGGAAAATCAATTAGAATCGAATTTTCGATTCTATATGCTTGATAGACATTGTGACCATTTCCTAAAAATTTAAGCTTTTAGGATTAAGTGATTGTCCAACATGTCCCGGAGCTTGGTTTGGAGGAGGTTTAGGGTACGAATCCTCCAGTTTTCTTTCCTCACTTTTTGGTTGGTGTGCGAGGTGCACGGGTTTGGTTTGCACCTATATGTTTCTCTCTAGTTTGTATATTTGTTTTTTTGGTCATTCCATGCATAGAAAGAAACTGCGTGTGAGAAACAGTGTTAACTTGATATACATTTGTTGGCCTATTCTGTAACAATTAAAGTTTTTGAAGTCCATTGACATGATTTGATGTTCATGATCATGGCTAAGTGTAATCTGTTATGTTGTTATGTACCCAAAAAATGAACTATCTTATTTAATAATAAAGATTTTCTTTGACATTATATTGCAAGACATGGGATACTTCTAGTCGTCCAAGTTTTTTTTCCCCAAATGTTTGATATCTTTGTTGAGGTGGTACCTGGTACTTGTTTGATATTGTCAAATTCGCATTGTCTGATGTAACGCTATGTATTTTTCATTTGACAATGGCAAGTTCCTTTCTAAAGTTTGCCGAACCCTCAATTAATTAATTAGCAGAGTATGTTATATATAAGCCAACTGTATTGACTTTAATTTTTCTTTTCAAAATGCTAAAGCAGCTTTGCTTACCACCCTAATCCGTGTCATCTCTTTAATTATGAAACCATTTTAATATCCACCGTTCATGTCTTGCGTTGCAAGGCATTGCGATCGGGAAACCCCCTGCTTAATTTTAAACACAGATGCTTAAACCCACATTGGTGTTTGTTTTTATCTCTATTTGATTATAGTTTTCTGTTCTTACATTAACAAAACACAGCTGCTTACAAAGACTTTGGTGTCTGTTTTGGGGGAAGTAAGATAAATGCAGAACCCAAAGTCGTTCCTCCAGCACACAATCTGCCCCAAAAAAAATATGACAGTTCTCTCCACGACCATAACCAAGTTGCAGCACTGAAGTAGAAAACAAGTAAATGGTTAGGTGGCCGACTCTATTCTTAAGATTAATTTTTAATGAAATCCAGGTTAACAATCACCGTTTAGAGCAAGTCTTACTGGGAAGTCAATGGTGAAACAGAGGATTAGTACTAGATTAGAATACAAATCCCATCTAATTAAACCCTTTTCAGAATTAGCTGATGTAAGAAACTTGTGCTATTGGTTAATCCACCCTAACCCTAATCCCTAAGATGTTGACACTCAACTCAGAGTCAGCCAAAAGCCAACCTGAGTTTTCTGTTTTCTGATACAAGTTGCTGCGTTTTACATTTGACATTTTCCTTCTTCATCTCTTCATGTGACCTCTTCAAAATACAATTGTCATTTGATTTCTAGTTAAATTTTGGAAAGGCCATTACAATGTCAATTGTGACCAAAAATAAACAACGTAGATACATACTTGCCTCCCTCTCATTCATAAAGAGGGATGCTAGGGACAGTTGACGCGGCACCTGCCTGAGTGACTATCAGTCGTTGATACATTATAACGGCCGTGTTGGCGGCCTTGTCATAATTTCCCTCATAAATCCTACTAAATTCAGCTACTTTCAAGCAGATTTGCACATTGTGAAAAGTGAAATACCATATGGGGCAAAAAGAACCAAGGTTTATTATTTTATAATTGAGATGCTTTAAAAATTATAGAGAAGATAATCAGAAATTACATGGAAATTGGTAAAGACAAACACCTTGCTGCTTGATCATGCTTGGTGAATGTTGTGAATAGCTGCAGTGATACTCTTACAATCAAACTCCATGATCTTCATCCAGTTCTCAAAATCTCCAAATTCCTGTCGCACAAAGAAGAAAAACCCCATCTTTAAAAACCAACATTAATTAAATTTACAAAAGAAAAACTGAAAATCGCCGAAAATGCATAATTGAAATTCTATCAACCTTAATGGCGGAGTTCATAGAATGAGTGACAGAGAGCCATTGATCGGTCTGTTTGGTGAAGCGAGTGATGGTGGCGGTCAAAGCCCTAATTTCATACTCAATTCGCTTCTCGTTCACAAACGACTCTTGAACGCCGCCGTTCACTGCGTCCACCATCAGCTCCGCCGCGCGCGCCGCCTTCTTAATCGCGTCCTTCTTCGCCTTCTCTGATACAACCAATCGCCTCTCATTACTCTTAATCACTCAATTAATTTCTCACTAATCCAATTTCAACAATCGAGCTTCATTTTTTCAAACCCTAGGTCGAATTCAAAATTCGATTTGGGGGGAACTGAGTCAACTCACCAGTGACTTCGCGGAGTCTGAGGGAGGTTTGGTGGTGGTCCTGAACCAGTTGGAGCAGAGCTTCTTCTACACCTCCTGGCTCTGGCTCCGACGAGAAGGAGAAGGAGGACGACGAGGCCACGCCGCCATGGGCGAGTGGAAGGGACGATTGCGAGTACATGCTTCAGTCGTTTAAGGTGTTCGAAACCAAACGGTAAGTCGTATTGAATAGACTTTAACCCCCATTTTGTTTGTTAAGGGCCAGTTGCATAAAGTACGTTTGCAAAAGAACGATTTTGTTAGAAGCGCTTTTGTAAAAAGAACCTTGAAATTTTTTGTAAAAAGCGCCATAGGCCAGCCCAACATTATCATGGGCAAAGAAAATAGAAAGTACTTATTGAGGCCCATTTTTTTGGGTTGGGTTGAGGCCCAACTGGCACCAGCCTTGTTGTTTGTTATTAGTCAAAGGTCAATAAAGAAGAAGTTATCTTTGACTTGTGTTTAATTTAGGTACTAGTCTCTTCGCACGTGCTCCCGCGCTTAAGAAATGTATTTTTAAAGTAAATTTAAATTTATTTTAGAATTAAAAAAAGATAATAGGTAGTTGTGTTTCATAAATACATGATCAATTATCTGATTTTAATTTTAATTGATAAATACGATTAGGAAAGGGCATCATTAAATTTAAGAAATTGAAAGGGCTTTGTCTGCTATGATTAGGAAAGGTGGCTGCAGATAAAAGTCAAGCTCACTATTTTATGCTTTTTTAGTAGGTCGATCAGTTAGGGTTTAGCCGTCCCCACCAATCTAATATTTCAAACATGTTGAATTCACTCAACAAATTATGTGTTCAAATTCTTATTCTATCATATATCTTGTTCATTTTCTCTAACTACTCAGGAATGAAACTTGAAAGGGTAAAAGTTGAATTTTAATACAACAATTATAGTGGATGATAATCGTCCCTCTATTATTAATCTTTTCAACTTCATGAGTTGATGAAGTTAATTCGATTTGTAGCAAATCACGGTGAAATGTAATTAAAATTTGAAGTATATATATTTGCTTTTCTTTTTATTATTATATATATAATCAATGTAGTGCTTGGTAGCTAATTCATTGGGTAGCTACAACATCAAAACAAGCTCTTGTCTAAATTGACCCGAAAAAGAAAATGACATAAAGAACTTCGACTGCCTTCTGTCTGCTGCTATGTTTGTTTGTAAATTCTCAAACACGTTTGATATACGTTTACTTTTAATGATAACGTTCATTGATGCCAGCTCACTGAAAGGAGTCATATCGGTCTAGTGCACCCAGCCATCACTATCTAGTCCTTGATTCTCATGGCGGAAATGACAAATAATCAGCAACTAATTAACAATAACCATCTCTGAAAAACTTTCAATGTACTGCGTGTTTTGCATCACATGTTTCAAATGAGATAGAACTACTCTCTCTCCTTCTTGCTACTTATATCAGCAGCCTATCACTATTTAACCTTCCAAACAAATCTTTTGATGAAATTACAACCAATGTGATTTTGACGCGTACATTTTTTATAGTTTTCTTTTTCCTCTTTTGTTGAAACTTTGTCAATCTTGCTAAAATACAACAAGTGGTTTTAAGGAGAAGCTCTTCTTTAATTTTAAGAAACCAAGCCTTGCTCTTCGGCAAAATCTGAACTAACTCATTCAACTTGAATTCCTCTTAAATAAATAATTGAAAAAGATAGAGAATAGAAAGTTGGTCGACTTTGAACGAGTAGAGAAAGATTAAGATGGTTTAACTTATCAAAATTTTAAGGTTTAAGGTTTGATTAATGAGTTTTTCTATTTAAACCCCACATTTTCTTTGTTCACCCCAATAATTAAATCATTAAGATCTTAAGTTTTATTATTGTGTAAAAAGACAAAAAAATGTCATCAAACTTAGTACTTAACCCTAGTACATCTTTACACACACTACACACTTAGAATAAACATCTATGAGAGCACTGCCATCAATTACGTCCAAACAGTACCCATATTTGGTGACTAGGCCATGGATTTACTTGCTCAATTCCAAAGTAAATAAATCAGCTGAAACACCAAGAAGGTTGACAAATGTCAAGAGACTCGGGTGGAGCAATCTAAGCCTCATCTCATTGAAAAGATCCAGCTCTTCAGACATCTTAATTATCCTGTCTTCAGTAACCTTCAACCATTGCATTGTAAGATACCACATTATAATGCCTGCCTTTTGGTTTGGAGGTTTTGGTTTGGAAGACATGGGCCTTGCTGTGACTGAAGAACAGGGCACGCAAAGGTGGAGAAGTTGAGGGCCTGTGTCTTTGTAATGGTCTTCTTGCAATGTGTTAGGTGTAGTGCAAAGTTTCTCTCATACCAAGGGAGAGGATGATCTATTGAAATTGTGTGTGTCTTCTTTCTTTTATAATGCTGGTACATGACAGAGGGATGGCTGATTGTAGTTTGCACCCAAGTTATACTTTCATCTATATTATTCGCTGACAACATTGTGATTACTAGTTAGCTTGGTTTTGAACTCAACAACAGAAAAAATTATTTTTTTACTTTTTGTATATTTTTTTACAAGCAATATTGAGGAAGGGGAGATTCGAATATAGGACCTTGAGGGATAACTGCTTCTAACCATTTGAGCTATGTTGAAGGGCAAGATAACGGGGTGTGGGGTGTGAGATTGATGAGTTCTTTATTTTTTTTATTTTTTATGCTGGGTGTGTATTTAGAGGTAGTTTGGGAAGATAATTGGGTTTTCTTATAAATTGTGAAAATTTGAATTTGAAGTTGGGGTGAACTTAGAATATGGGGTGAACAAAGAAAAATGCGGAGTTTAAATAGAAAAACTCTTGATTAATTACTGGATAAGAATGCATTATTCGACATGTATATCATTGTATTAAAATAGATGTGCAAGAACAAGATATTATAAAATATTTACTATTAAAAAAATTAAAGAATATTGTAGGATTAATTCTCGAATAATTTTTCAAATGTTTGCAAATCAATTTACACCTTAATTGAATTTTATATTTTCCACAGTCCTGATCTCTTAGATCATAGGAGTTTAAGAGATTGTGGTCACCCATGGTTGGATATTAATTCAATTGTTCAAATAAGTTTTTTGAAAATGAGTGCAAGAGTGAATGAACTATTGAATTTACATCCAACGATAAGTGACCACAAATCTCTTTGACCCCTGTAGTCTAAGAGATCATGACTGCTTATTTCCATTCACTAACAATTGGCATCCACAAAAGTTGTATTCAGACTTTCTTGTCAGAAAATAAATAAATAAAGAGCTACGGAAAATAGATATGTTAAAAGATGCACGCAAGCAATATTATACACTACAAATAATTGATACTTGTTTTCTGCAGACACGTGGAAAATTGTTGTTCCATGAAACGTGATCCAAAGCAGCCCCAGATAATTAATCTCTTTAATTTGAGAAAGCTACATTTGTAGTGGGTGGCGGTGGTGGCCATTGCCATCACTGAAGAGACGGGCATCTGGAATCTCTACATAGTAGTGCATAAGACAATCACATTGCTTCAACTAGTATTATATACCGTCAGTGTGGATATAAACACATTTCTCTATGTATCTGTATAGAGCCATGACCTCTTCATGCCAATGTGACATGACACCGCTAGTGTATTTTTTTTGATGGAGTCATAACAAGCACGAAACGGGCATGTATCCTTCCAAACTGATAACGAAAGTGAGATTTGCAGAGAATGATAAAGAGGAAAAAAGGATATACGAATGCTATTATTCTCTGGCTTTCTTCCTCTGTATCTTTCTCTGCAAGTATCGCTTTCGTTATCACAAACTTCCAATTGATAAATTCCCAAAATATATATACGAATACTAAATGATGTCATACTTGACGAATTCCGTGGCTATAAAAAGTGGTCTAACAGCTCTACATTATATTCATGGCAATGAAAATAATCAAACTGCATTTATAGGATTTTCATGATTTGCATGGTGCCTAACTTTGAATTTTAGTCCCTTAATTTTGCTTTCGAACAGAAATTGGAAGTCAATAGAAATAAATGCGAGTCACATCATGAATCTTCCAGCTAAGGTCTAACCACACGCATATGGCTCCACTAAGTATAAAACTCACAATCTAATTATTAACGGTTTTACAAATCATTACGTACTCTGTTAAGGAAAAAAAAAGGTTGAGATATGATTATCCATACTTAACTAAATTCATCAATAATCAAATCGACATCATTACTAAAATGACCCTTATCTATGCTTGGGTACAAATGTCACCTCGTCACACTCAAAACTTAAAATTTCTTGTCTAAAAGCCCTTGTCCATCTGTATACGATATCTACAGACGACCTGCCAAAAATACTCAGTCACAAGTCATTTGTAACCAAACATTTCAATCAATTTTCACTCAATTTTTCATGGCATATTTAATGCTTTTTTTTATTTCTAGAAGAGCACTGTTTTTCTTTATGTATTTTGGTTTTACGAAGATACGTTTCTATGAGGAAGAAAGGATGGAAATTACATGAAGTTAGACAAGTCTTTGCAATTACTTTAATCTTATCTTTTTGATTATTCAAGTTTCTTTTTTTTAGTCAGAGATGATACAAAGTTAGTTGCTACTTGTCTTTTGATGTGCTCCTCTTTTTTGGCCGTTTCTAGTCTCTAGTGTTTGTATCTCGTTCAAAAAAGAACCACAGGGAATCTTGAAAATATGGAGAGTGAGATAAAAAGTGTTATTATTTTACAATTTCAATATATAGAGAGAGATAAGCAATTGAAAAAACGTTTAAATGTCTAGCCCAGTAAAAAATAATCTTGATTTTGTAGCCAGAAGTCTCAGATTTGAATCCATATTGACATCTCTTTGTATTATAATTGATGGCCTAAGATGAATATGAGGAATCCTAGTTACTTTCTCACTCTACTAGCTCTTCGTTCAACCCTTCTCTCTATTTATCTTTTAAACATGAAAATCACCCTCACTTAGAACTAATCAAGATTATATAATGATTTGAAAAGAAAAATTCGGGTCCTCCCACACTCTTTACGCTCGATAAATTTAACATAATTAACCTTCGATTCGATCTAAGCTTACGAACACCAAGCCCTCCAATTATTTTCTGTGTGGTTGGAGTTGCTCAATTCTTTGCATGATATCTTCACGAAATCTCAAAAAAGTTTTAAAGACAAAGTTAGTGGAGCCTCCAAAAGTACGATTTTGATCCATT